TTTTTTGACATTATCTATCGAGTTAGGGTTAACTTCTAATGGGTCCGGTACATACATTTCAGGAATAACAACATCGTACTCGGGATTTGACTGCTGTGTAATACTAATGCGATCAAAATTAGAACTAGTTTGTTCATAAGCAAATATATGAGGCTTTATTACAAGTGATTTTGATTGGGAAGCTGTATTAATCTGGGTAAACTCGTTAACAAATTCTGCTCGTAAAACAGCCAACGTGTCTAGTTTTTCATTACATTTAGGGCAAGTACGTTTTTTATTATCGATATTGGTTGTATTATATTTTTTACACCATTTAGATTGACTCCCGGTGCCTTTTTGATTTTTTATAATTAGATCGATCGCATTGATTTTTTCATTTTTTTTAGCAACAAGCTCCTCTAAAATTGATGATAAGTATATTTTTAATTCTAATTCATGTTCTGCTTGCATTTCGGGTGCAATATAATATAACTTATCATATTGTTCATCAGTTAATGAATCGCAAAGCCAAGGGGAAATCATAAATTGAGCATAATCATTTTTATTCATATTGAGAGCGATGAAACTTGTAACCGTATGATATATAACTGTGTTATAACCACGGTCAAGATAATTATGTTGACCGTGTTGCTCATTATCGAAAGCTAAAATAAGAGCCCTTTAGGTAAAGATACATTTTCGACTGCTAATGATTCTAGCCAATTAACAAATTTTGTATAACTTCCAGAACTAATTAAATGGTTATCAATATCAATAATTGTTTTCGATCGTGCGATCGAATATTTGATTCCAGATATAGCTAGATTTATTTCTGATACATAGTTTTTATGTCTCGATCCATATATAGCATTAACAGCAACTATTTTTTTAAAAACCTTTTCATTCGATGTATAAAGATTACAGTTATTACTATCATTATATATAAGGGTATTAATAAAATTCACGAGAACTGGGTTACGGTTAGCTAACCAATTATCAGGTACAAAGTTTAATAAATTACTAAGTGAAAACCGCTGCCTATTTAAAATCAATGACTCAATATCATCGTAAATGCTTTGGCATTCCTGTTTGGCAATTTGAATTATAGAATCAATTCTTTTTATTTGGGTACTATATCGGTTTTTCCATTTATATTTTAACACATTATTTTGTTCAGTTAATTCTTTATTTATTTTATTGATTTCTTGAACTTGTTCACAACTTTCTATTATGTAGTCATACGCATATTCTAATTGTTTTTTAAGGTCTTCCATCTCACTTATTCTCGAATTTAACTGTAATTGAAGTAGATTAATGCGAGCTTCAAGAGTAAATAACATATCATCAGATACTTGAACACCAATCTCATGAGTTTCATTGCTAACTTGTACAGCGACTTTAGCAGTTTGTTTATTAGTTTGCATGCTATTACATACATTTATTTCAATTTCTGTTTCAGCATGCTCCGTACGAGCCTGCTCATTATCTATTTTTCTTTTTCTATTACCACGTCGATTACTAGTACTAGGCAAATTTGAACTTAAAAGA